ATAAATTAGAATGTATAATGAAAATAAAATTACGCTCAAGTACTAACATGTGTGTTTATGTATATATTTGTGTGTGTTTGTTATACGCTGATGCGTGTAATGTGGGTGCAAGAAAAAATAGAAGAGATAAACATACGCGCCTACCTATTCAACTACATTAGTGTTGGATGCTTCCTATCTATCCTACCTACAATTAAAAATATGCCTATCTAACCTACCTATATAGCTACTTAATGTAAGTGTGTGTTTGTGTGTGTGTGCGTGTGAGCATTCTTACTTAATGTTAAATTACAGAGAAAAAAGAATAAAACGTATCACAGCTAGGCGTGTATTCTTTTCCACTGAATGAACGAACGTAGCCTGACATCTTTTATGATGAACTCCTCTGGAAGCTTCAACCTGAATGAAATAAAAAAATCTTATTTATTTAATTAATTTAAATGAAAATAGAGAAACGAACCGCGGTGAAACCCGCCAGCCGGAAAAGCCAGCCAATTGGCAAAAAAGGAACCGCAAAGAAACCATAAAACTTACCTTAGCCAGGCGTGCTTTTTTTGCCACTGAATGAACGAACGTAGCGTGACATCACAACCATTCTGATCTTTCACGATGAACTCCTCTGGAAGCTTCAACCTGAATGAATGAACCTAAATGAATGGAAAAATTTTATTTATTTAATTAATTTAAATGAAAATAGAGAAACGCAAAGAAGCCGACCGGTCGGCAAAGAAAAGTACCTCAAAGAAAGGTATCTATATAGGATTTATGCTCTATATAACTCTATATAACTCTATATAACTCTATATAACTCTATATAACTCTATATAACTCTATATAACTCTATATAACTCTATATAACTCTATATAACTCTATATAACTCTATATAACATATATAACTCTATATAACTCTATATAATAAAATAAATAAAAATAAAAAATTTAAAAAAATAAAATAAATAAGATCAGACAGACTGCTTCAAGCGAGACAGAATGCCTGATCTGATTTTCATGTTGTCTCAGCTCCTATTTATACTCCTTTTCAACCAAACATTTTCATCATTTCAATCATTCAAATCAGTAAAAAACTTATTTAATGTATGTAGTACACTATTATACAGTCTTAACCACAATGCTAACCGTACTAAATTAACGTCATCGAACGAACGCCTTTGAAAATTTTTGATTGGCTGGTTGAATCTGCTATATTACTTTTTATATAAACACATAATCTTATTAATTATTTGTATACATGGATTCTAGTCACTTTATATATATATATATATATATATATATATGTATATAATATAAATTCATAATATAAGCAACAGCAATCAGTGCTATATATGTACGTACGCAGTTCAAATTTCTCTGGGAGAATTCAAAATAGTTTGAGACCACACCTTGCTTAACATCCGATTCCAAGCCGAGTCAAGCCAAGCAAAGCTGAGCCAATATGCGTAGATTTATAAGTGCTTTTATATTAAAATTTTGCTCGTTTTATATACGAACATCCCAATATAACAAATTTTCCATCCTATTTTCAAATTTTTTTTTTGATGCTTCAGTCAGGTCACAATCATCATCATCGATATCGCGATGAAATCAAATTGAATTTTTTGTTTTAAAAGGTTGTAAATTTAAATTTTTTAAATTATTATTTAGTGTGGCAATTAATTACTTTTAATTAGTATAAATTTAAAAAAATAAAATCGACATTATCGATAATATTTAAAAGTTTAAAAAATTGAGGTTCTTTGCATATCTCTGCTTCAAACCATAAGAAAGTGTTGTATATTGGTGAATAGGCCTCCCATTGTGTGAGCATATGCTTCGATATCATATATGATATCGAAGCATATTATTTTTGGTGTCCCATACGTTATAAGTTGTAGAAGTAAATGTAAACAAAACAAAGGCACGTGTTTTCCTTTTAAAAAATAAAAAAAATTTAATAAATATATAAAGTATAATATAATTCATCAATTATAAATATAAACAGAGCGGCCAGTCCAGGTTTTGCTTTTCTTTCAGTTTCGTTTGTTTTGTTCTCTTTTTGTTGATTGTTCGTTTATCCTGTGGTGCATGTAACAACGTAACTGTAAGTAAGTATTTGATTGTTGTATGTATCTGTCTGTTGTTCCAACAGTGTTGGTATGGTTGTTTCAAATGTTTCATTCATTCATTAATTAAATTAATTAATTTAATTTCGTTTTCTCATGGTTTTGTCCATTCAATCATTACAAAAAAGAATGGAAGTTTCTAAGGAAGCTATCACTTCTGTTGGTGAAGATGTCACCTTTGAATCTTTGGTTTGTTACATTTCATTTTACTTTACTTTTCTTTACAAAAAACTTTACAATTTTACATTTACAAGATTTACATTTTACTTAGTTTTTTATTTTATTAATTTTGCTCACCTCTTTCAAATTTTAGTTTTTATAGTTTATACTAGTAGCGAGATACTTGAAACATGAGCTTAGAAAGCAAGGCTGTGATTTATATTGTGATGTTATTTTATTGGTTTTATATCTATCTGACTATAAAAATTTGCCATTTATAATATTTTATTTAACTAAAGAAACTAATCGCTAGCTAGTGAGATCATTCATAATTAGTGAATTATTCAACAACCATATTATGCTATTGACTATACTATACTGCTAGCATATAGTTGTGAAGGAAATAACAAACCCATTTAATATGACTTAGATAAAAATAATATAATGTGAAAAAATACTATATATCTTTAGTTGCCTAATAAATAAATAAATGTTTGAAATGACAACAGGGAGTTACAGATGTGCTGTGTGAAGCCTGCCAGCGATTGAAATGGTCAAAACCGACTCCAATTCAGAAGGAAACGATTCCAGTGGCCCTTTCAGGCAAAGACATCATAGGACTAGCAGAAACTGGTTCAGGCAAGACAGGAGCATTTGCCATCCCAATCCTTCAGGATCTCCTGCAGAAACAGTCAAGGTTGTTTGCTCTTGTCCTCGCTCCAACCAGGGAACTTGCCTTCCAAATTAGCGAAACATTTGACAGTCTTGGTAGAGGCATAAAACTCAAGTTAGGTCAGTTGGCTTCTGTGTAGATTTTGTTTTAGCTTGTAGAATATGAAAAGGTTTTTCCAACAAATTATGCCATTTTGGTGCAATGAAAATTGAATTAATAAAATGTGTTTATAAAATCTTTCTTCTAAAGTTTTGTTCACATTTCAGGCCTTTTAATTGGTGGAGTGAATAAGGAGGCCCAAAGTAAAAGATTGGCTTCAAGACCTCACATTCTGATAGGTATTATTTATTACTATGCAAATTACTCATTCTATAACATCCTTAGCTTTATCCATCAGTTTCTTTTCCGTCATACTTGAAGCAATTAATAATTTTGAACCACTAGCGACACCAGGCAGGTTGCTGGAGCACTTACGAGGAACTACTGGCTTCAATCTCAAATATCTTAAATATTTAGTTAGTTTCTCTCTCTCTCTCTACATATTAGTGTGTCTCTCTGTTTATCTGTCTGTTTATCTTTTTATCTGTCTGTTTGTTTGTTTCTATTTTGATTGGTGTGATTTGATTTGATTTTTGTATTATTTTGTTGCAATAATAAGTAATTGGACACAAATTTTGAAATTATCACAAGGTCCTTGATGAAGCTGATAGAATGCTGGAAATGAATTTTGGAGAAGAGGTATGTACTTCTTCGTTTCATTGTTGACGGTGGTGATGATGATGGTCATACTGATATCAATATTAATGATGCTGAAAATAATGATGTTATTGATGATGAATATGCCGATGCTAATGACATCTGTTATAATTACGATAACAATGATGTTTCAATATATGATGTTGATTAATTATTTATGTTTAGGTCCAATATTTTAACATTTATAATTCATCATTTATTTACCAGTATTCTAACCTCATTGCCAACATTTCAGACATGTACCACATACATTGATACATACTCATACATGTACTTACACTCACACGCACATACATGTACTGTACACACACACACTTATATATATATATATATATATATATATGTACACACATACATACATACATATACACACACGCACAGATTGGCATGATCCTCAGTATGATTCCAGAAGAGCGAAAAACTTATCTATTTTCTGCTACTATGACAAAAACGGTGTGTGTGTGTGTGTGTGTATCTTCATGATCAATAATTATTGAACAAATTTTTGTTAATTATTTTTTTAATCAAACGTTTTCTAGAGACAGTTAATTAATAGTTATTTATAGACAGTAATTAATAGTTAATTAATAATTAATTTATTAGGTAAATAAATTAAAGAAGGCTTGTATGAAGGATCCGGTAAAAATTGAAGTCTCAAAAATGAACCAGGCCGCCTCTAAGGTCATCCAATATCATATATTCTGTCCCGAGAGGGAGAAGGTTGGGTCAGAGGATTCTTTTGCCGAATCATTTGTTTGCATTTGTGGCTTATGTGGTTGATTTCTTATTCAGTTGGTTGGATGGTTGTTTAGCTGGTGGGTTTGTTGATTGGCTGGTTGTTGTGTTGTTGTTGTTATGAATTATAGATATCTGGGTTGCTTTGTTTGCCAATGCTTGTTTTTGTTGATGCCTGATGATTTTCAAAGTAGAAGTTACTAAAGTGATGTTTCAAACTTTAGAAAATTAATGTGATGCAACCACAAAAATTAAACAATTAGATATTGTATTATTAAATATAATGTCAATATAATGTAGATATAATGTTAATATTTTTTACAGGAGCTGTACCTCTTCTACTTGGTGCAACAGATGAGAGGAAACTCAATGATGATCTTCACAAATAGCTGTGGAAAAGTCTGGTTGTTCACAAAACTGCTTCGGACATATGACTTTTCTGTGCACCAAATTCATGGAAAGATGACTCAGGTTAATTGATCTGCATGTATGTGTATGTCTGTATATTTAAGCATGTTTATCTGCTGTCAGTGTGTGGTGTATGTGTTGTCAGTGTTTATACTTCATACATTCTGCTTATTGGCATATTTTGTAGTAGAAATTTCGTTTTGCTATCTACATTTGTTACATTCACGCTATATTTCAATGCAGAAAAGACGTCTTGAGAGTTTAAAAAAATTTCGGGAAGATGAGCATTCCATTCTTGTGGGAACTAGTGTAGCTAGCCGGTAAACATCATTGTCGCTCATCATCATTGTCGCTCATCATCATTGTCGCTCATCATCATTGTCATCGTCGTTGTCGTAGTCATTAGATTAGTCAGCTACCATATTCCATACATCAAACTCACTCAATGCATTTGCAATAACTACACGTGCAGTGGTTTGGACATAGCCCACGTTGATATAATCATCATCTACGATCTACCAGAGGCAGCTAAAGATTACATACATAGGTAGGTGAATGTCTTATTATTTCAATGATAATTGTTGAATGTTATAAATCATTTATTTCAACCTTAAGACCGAGTGTAATAGTATTTTGTTACATTAAAATCATTAGCAATATCATTTAATTTACTGTAATTTTCCTTATAACGTTTTAAAAATACAATTCAATGAACTGGACAATATATGATATAACCCATTGAACAATAAAAATTGCACATTAAGTATCAAACATTTTTTAATGGTGGTTTCAGCAGTTGTTAAGTTTTTAATTTCAGGACTTTAGTCTCTGTAAGTTCATATCTCGCTATTGTAGATTAAAATGATTTAGTTGCTAATTCACTGATAAATAAGTTGGTTCACGGGTCGTTTACATGTGGAAACACTACTAAGCAACACACCACACATCATTTTGATTTCTTATATCCACTGTACTCACCCATTACTGACTAACACGCGTTTTTATTATGTCGGCAGGGTGGGAAGGACAGCACGGGCAGGAAAATATGGAAAATCCTACACCTTCGTCACACAGTCAGTTCTCATCAATACACGATCTTCAAATTGCAGTATAATAATAATAATCAAAATTGTACTACTTGTTTGATTTTTAACATTATTCCAGAAATAACGTCCGTGAGTACTTGGAAATAGAAAAACTTCTAGGCTACCAGATACCTAGGTATGAACCTAAAGAGGAGGATGTGCTGAGGCTCGAGGCTGACTATAATAAAAATCGCGACGATATAAAAGTGGTGTGTTAGACTTTTTCTCCTAATAAATATGAATTTTTCTGATGTTTCTTCATTTATGTAATTGATATTTATCATGATTTATTGCTTTTTAGATGCAGAACAGAGTGGACAAAATGAGGCGGAAACAACGAAAAGAACATTATAAGGCAGAGGGGTTTAAGATGGTCTCTCAAACAAGAAATAAATTTAAAAAAAAGAAATAAAAAAAATACTGAATTGACGATTGCATATTAATTCAACTTATCAACTGTATATTTTAGATAACACGTGTACATTTAATGTTTAAAAATTAAAATTTATTTAATAAACTGACGACAGAAAGTAACGTCACAACTCGGAAACGGGATGTCGGACGAGAAACGGTGATCGATTGGTTGATTGATTTTAAGCTTTTTATTTACAGAATTTTTAGATTTCTTTACCCCAAACAAATCAGTATTAATAATACTCTTAAATTTGTAAAAAAAAACCCGTTTAAACTGCAAGATATTTTTGAATAACTTTGAATAAACACCGACCATATCAAGCTATGTTTTTGAATAACTTTGAATAAACAAGCTATATACAAAACGAATTGCACTGGCTTCGAGAGTCTGAAAGAATCGACTTCCTACTTGATCTGGTTGTGAATTTTTCTTGTAAGAAGAAGCCGTCTTGTTCTGGGGAAAATTTGAAATTCTCTTTTGAGACGACTGTTCAATCTCAACTAAGATTTGGTGATCAGCTGCATCCGTCTTTCATGTCTACTTATTATAGAAGATGCTACTTGATTAACCGTGATGAATTCAAGGGACGACTTAAACATTTTTTCAAGAAAGCCTAGCTAAAAATCATTAACAAAGGCGCACGATACAATATATAAATAAACATATATATAGATTATATGATAGAAATGCATACATCGCAGTCCTGTCATTGTCGTTTGATATTCTAATTACATGGCATATTTCAAATCATTTGCGAAATGTTATTTCAATGAAGTTTAGCTAACTTGACGTACGTGTGGTAAACAAACAGTCGTACGAAATTGAACGATTTTCCGTGTAGATACGGTACAGTACAATATTTTAAAAATAATAACTCAGCTTCTCCATGTTTTTCTTAATTTATTTTTTATAATTTTAAGACATTCAAAAGGAATAGAAATAGAGTATGACTAATTAATAAACAGCTGTATATCAAAAAGTCAATTCAACTGTCTACTAACAAGCTCTTCTAGCCCTTTCCTAGGAGGATGAATGCAGAAAAATGTGATGCGGCAAAAGTAAAAAAAAACTTCTCAAACAAAATTTTAAAAAAGAAACTAAGGGTTAGAATATTTTTAAAGCTTCTGAACAGCTAACATCACTATTTAATTAATTTATTTAATTTGATTCATTATAAATAAATATTGTATAGTAAAACATTAAATTCTGGATAAAGTTTAGTAATTATTATTATATGCAAAAAAAAACGATGTCTTAACATTTTCACTAGACCCTTTAAACTTTATAGTTTTTAATGCATATTACACAATAATCACACACCCCCAGCTTCTACTTAAGAAGCCAGAAGTAGTGAACTGGCTGAAGGACAAACAGATGAAACTCAGAATGAAAAAAGAAGAAACCTCACCTCGAAACAGAGATGATGGACTTTAATTTTATTGAACTTATCAATTTATGTATTATAATTATCAATATCAATTTATTAATTCATCATTAATTATCAATATTGATAATTATGTATTATAATTATCAATATTGAAGATTGATTGAATGCAAGAATTAACAATATACAAACTAATGTACATTTGAAAAATGTAAATGCAAACAAACAACAATTTTGTAATTATTAACAAATCTCTCCTTCCCAGTGTTTGGGTCGAAGGCACTACTAAGGATGTGCAACACCCATGCTGAATCTAATTTTCAGAATTTCTATAAAATTGACCTAGTGAATATAAAAATTTATTAATTTCATAAAGACGAAAATCTGGTCATTCCATCAAATTCTTCTCGTGTTTTTCGTTTCAAGTCATATGTTTCTTCTTTGAATTTTGAAATAACCCATTCAATTGCCTGCCGTCCCTATAAAATTAAAAAATAAAATTATTTTATTACGCAGAAGTATAGTTTTGCATGTTAATTTGGTTATAGCCAAGCACCAGACACAACTAAGCTTGCAAGATCTCACAGTAGTTAATTTAATGGTTTATCTCATCCATAATTTTAAAAGAAAAGAAGTGCACGTAAAAATATTAATTTTTTAAATGATTAAATAATATTAACAATCACTTTGTTTCTAACACTACATAGCGATAGTAAAGTTACATAATATACAAAAACAACAGAAACAACGACACTTATGAGATAACTACAATGATATGTTTTGTGACTTGCGAGGGCATACAAAATATAAATTAATGTGAATCCAAATTTTAATAGTCGTCTAGAGTCAAGACATCTCGAGTTGACAAAGCAGACCCAAGAATTGAGATGATGGACATGTAATGGTCATTATAATCTACAGAACTACACAACTGACCTGTCCTGCCTTTGATGACATTGTCTTCTTAATGGTGTCTTCCAAGTAACTTGTCATGGGCACACCTTTTACTGTCACGTACGATTCGGACTTCAAAACCGTGCTGCGTTGGATATTTGTTCATTTATCATGATTGATTTAAATTCAGTTAATTCAAATAAACTGAAATTTCAAATTGAATTTACTGTTGAAAATTAATTAAGCCAATTTTAATTAAAAAGTTTAGCCATTAATTATAGAAAATAAAAATAGCTGAATCAAGCAACCTGTTTGGATCAGTAGAGTGTGGAATGTAAGTTATTCTTTCATCGATTGTTACTAAGTTGCTGAGTGTTATCTGATTTAATTAAATATTTGTTAAATGATCATTTAATAATCATAGCAAACCAACAAATTATATGAGGTAGTTTATCATATTAAACAATCTCAAAAAGAGCAAGTTGAGTAAGAATTGCAACTAACATTTCTTGATTCGAGTTTCATTAATTTGTTTGATAAATCGACTTCTGAATGTTCACTGACATAGCAAGCACCGTTGAAGCCTATGAGCTGTGTTAAAAATAAAAAAATTATCAATTTATAAGGTATTCAATAATATACTTTTAAATAGTTTAGAAAGAGTAGTTATTAATCAAATTATGATAGACCATTAATAAACTCTTATGATTTCATTAACACTCAATGAGTTAGGATTAAAACTAACACTTGTGACCCAATTAGGCCAGCCCCATTCTGTGCTAAGTATTCTGTGCATTAATAACTTTCCAGGTTTCTCTACGGAACATTCAACAGTGTCAATTCCAACAACACTAGGATTCATGGGATTTGGGTATTTCTGCCAGGCTGCCTGGACAACAGTTTCCCAGGGGTGTCTGAATGGTTTCAGGAAGGAAACAATTTCAAACTAAACGGTTGACAAATGAAATATGAACGGTTGACAAATGAAATATGAATGGTAGTTTTATTTTTTAAACAGATACAGATTTTCTTTAAGAAAAGGAAAATATATCGAAAACAGCTGAAAAACGTGATAAATATTCTATTTATTTATAATTTATTTAATTTCATATCTCATCAGTAGCTCATCACATTTTCATATTGTCAAAAAATTACAAATGATGAAATTGTGATCGTAAACAAATTTTAAAAACTTGAACGGGAACTTACTTGAATGTGTGTTCCGACGTCCAAATTTTCATTTTGTTTTTCGTGAATTATCAAATTAAATTCTTAAAATAATTGAACGCAAATCATCCCCAATGTCATCGAAACTAGTACGGTCGGAAAATTTTTCTAAAAAGGGGTTCGACTAAAGGCCAATATGTACAAAAAAAATAAGTTTTTGGGAAGAAGTTGGTAAATCAGATAGTGAAAAGAATGAGTGTGGTAATAAAGAAGAACGAATAAATAGCTTAAAGACGATATTTATTGTTAAAAACCTTTTTATTTGAATAATTGAAAGCTTGGTGACGTCAGAAAATATTTGCAATATTTCTGTAATAGAGTTAATGCACTTGTAATAACAACTTTGTAATGTAGGACTTAATCATCCATATATGTAGAATATGACAGTATATATTCTATATACACGACCTTGCATCTTATTCAATTCATAGAATATCATCAAATTATTTGATATATTTATATATTCTATGTATGATACTCTATAATTGATTTATTCTAAGTATATGATTCATACATGCATGCTTGCAATCATAAGTATATGTGCACATAAATAAAATAATTACCAAAAAAAACACATAATTATAAATATTACATCGATATATATACAACATATATATAATATATTGATACCTAATCATGCTGTGTAATCACATCACGTGCCATATTTTTAGATGTTGATGTCGATGATCGAAAACTTACATTTTTGCTTCTTTCAAAATTTTTTTGGGTATTACGTTTAATTATTTATTTTGCTATTACGTACTAATTTGTTAAGAATTTTTTTCATAAATTTATACTTTATACCGTCCAGCCATAGATATTAATTATATCATATATATGTATATATATATTATATATATATATATATATATATGTATATATATATATATATATAAATTATATCCATACGTCAAGCTCATTTCTCAAAGAATGAAAATTAAGTGGCAAAAAAGAGAAACAGACTCACTTCATCTGACAAACCAAATCAAACCGTTTCTTAATATAATGTATCTATGACGTTTGTAGTCAGATGGAATAACCATTCTCGTTATATCTGAACAGCTCTCAACTGCTGGAATGCACATTAGAAAATTGTTAAAATTTGCAGTTTGACCTACGTCCTTTTTCAAACTTTTTTTAGAGGTAAAATACTTTGAATAACATGCCTGATTGATTCTTTTAGAGCCTCCTAAGTGCCCTTATAATTCTTTCTTCTTGAAAACGAACTGGCAAAAAACGTTGCCCACAGATTTTTCAAAAAAGTTTTCATCTATCTAGCTACAACATAACTGACTAAATAAATGACAGTAAAAACACGACCATCGGTCGAATGATATGGTTATATATCATAGCTCGTAAACAAAAGAATCGTGTATCATGTTCTACATACTTATAGAATCTGAACACTCAAACAATGCAAATCATTGACGTCATAAAGGGATTAAGCATTTTATAATTTATATTGATCATTATGTCTGTGATGATGCTCAAAATTAAGTAGTTTATTTTTATATAGAATTAAAATAATAGAAGAAAATTAATTTTACTGACGCATGCATGAAAATACACCATGGTATTTTACGATCATTTTTCTTTATTATTTGGTAGAAAATTAATTGTAAAAAAATTAACAAATTGATCAAAATATGAAATATTTTATTAAATTTTTGTAACTATTATAAGCGATGAAACAAACAAACACAAACAAACAAACACGTGGTTATTTATTGAACCATCGTCTCATAACAAGTGTTCAATGGTATTTTTGAAAATATTTAAAAACTTTATCATAATTCATCATAAGTACGAAAGATTTTATCATAAATGTATATGTAATTATCTACTATACATATACATACACATATACACTTGAACGCGAGCCGTTTCTTCACCCGAATGAAAAGAAATGAAAGTAATTATAGAAACTTTAATAAAAGAAACCACAATATTATTATCAATATCACCGAGCACTTCAAGTTTGTCATTATCTAAATCACTATCTTTATAATTAGCACTATAATTGTCAGCCAGGGTCTTCGTTATAATTCACTGAGAATATTTTGGAAAAGCATCACCCTGGTAAACTTTGATCTAAATCAGTGGAGGGGAGAACATGGCCCTCCCCGTTGCGAGCAGTATTTTTGGTATGCCAGTGTTTGAACAGGAAAAGAACCGCCACCGGTCTAAATCCTTATTGTATGTAATCAACTTTTTAATCAGCAGATGTATTATTATCTTCGCAATAATGTTATTATAAAATACACATAATTATACTTATTATGTTTTCATTTCTTAAAATTAAAAAATATTCTCGGTAATAATTCCAATTAATAATTTTGGTATTTTTATCTTTACATAGTATTTATAATTGAATTATTAAACTCTTCAGGATATGGAAATAATAAAAAATATGGTAATAATTAACAATTACGTGATGATCCTGACTAGTTATTTGCATTTTCATCATTATTTTCTTACCTAATGGTAACATTGACAACTGTCATCATCATCGTCGGCTTCTTCATCTGATTTGGTACATCTCTCTTTAATTATCATATTCATCAACCCCATCAAGCAATCATTTTTTCACTGTTTAAATCATTATCTCAAAAATGTTAATTATTTCCATCATTAAATTCCCTACATTTGTCATCATCACGTCGTCGTTAATATCATTATTATAATGATACAATGATGGATGGTAACAAGCAGTTTCGAGAAAAAATCCAAACAAAAGACACAAAAAAAATGAACCTAATAAAAATCATTGAAATTAATTCTTAAACGTAAATCCTGTAAATGAGTCTGGTGAGTTTTCTGCTCCAGCTTAACAATGACCTTGTACAAGAACACACAGCCATCATGGAACTTTTGAAAATTTTCTTTGAAACACAACTTTGTGGTCAGATTATCGCACTCATAAAATTTTAACTGAGATTGAAATATCAATATAATGTTGAACAAGTTCTGGATGATGGCGTAGACGGCTGATGACTGTTTATTCAAGAGGCACTGAGACAAACATCTGTTCAGGAAGATGGTTCCCTCATCAATCAGCTGATCCACACTTTCAATTTCAGGATGTGAACCTTCTTTGTTGGATAATGAGTTCAACTTTTGCTGAAATTCATGCCAGGAAGCAAGCATGACTTGATTGGTTACATATTCTTGAATGGCCTTCACGAAATGTTGCATGTTGTGCCAATAGAAAAGTAACTGACGTAGTTCGTGGCTTTTGTGGTTGTCACTCATCTTAAATTTTTTCTTGAGAGTCAGATGTATGTCATTCAGAGACCACATCACGTGCTTCAGTTTGAAGAAAAACTGAAAAAGAACGCTGTAGGATTCGAGATGCTTTTGTTGAAGGATTATATTTACAGGCCAGTCTATTTTCATAGTCATGCCCAGTCTGTTAAGCATTTCATTTTTTGGAAGAAGGCGATCGTGTTGATCATCGAAAATGAAGGTTAGAAGGTCCGTCAAGTGAAAATTGCGAGTTTGTTGTTCCACAGAGGCGAGTGAATGCTGCAAAATTTCGTTCACAACTGACAAACTAAAGATGAAATGGGGATTGTGTTGTTTGCTGTCGTGAACGAGTTCGAGATGTTTGTTCAACGAACTAACCAGCGAGACACTGAAGTAATCATCTTGCAGAAGGACAAACTTCCTCAAAATTTCGTAATAATCTGCAATGCCGGTGTCGTTGAAGTAATTGAGGAGGGTGTGGTTGAGTAAATGTGATTGGATGCGGATGCAGTTGATGAGGCCTTCCTTAAGCAGCTGGTGCATCCCATCATCTCGCATCTGAATGAATTCGTTTGACGCTTGTGATGATGGAGGAGGTGCTTGTGATGATGACGACGGCGATGATGATTTCAAGTGGTCTGACACTCTGCACATTTGAACTTGAGTGAACATTTTTTTGTCTAACTCAAAATGAAGGTCCGGTTCATACTTTCTATGTGAATTTGTTAGTTGGTGGAATGACTTGTTGATTGTATCATCGGTAGCTCGTGTAACAACTGCATCATCAAATTCTTGTTTATTATTTGATGATGAAAAAAATTTGAGAGCACTTCTTAAGTAATCATCACACTGCTTTCGATGGAGCTTCATTTCATCTCTGGTCGAAACAATCTTAACTTCCGGCTTCGAGCAACTATTGAAATAACCCATGTACTGAGAAATGATAATAATATTTTATCTAAAATAGTTTAAAAACTGCAAAAAAGTTTGGAAATAAATACCACAGGTTTAACAAATTATGACAATTTCGACTAGATTATTTATTAAAAAAAGAGGAATGAATGAACAAACAGATGAATGAACGAAAACGAAAGAAAAGAGGGCTTACCTTGTTGCAGCAGAGTTTGAGAAGGTGGACAGACTTGCCACAATTAATGATGACTGCAGAATATTCTTGAAGGAATCGTGGCACGTCTGATGGCGACAGCAACTGGAAAGCGTGCTTCCAAAATAATTCATCTATCCAAAATGTAATTAAATCTAATAAGTGCACACATTAATGTCAATTAAATTATATTTAATTATATAAATTATAAATAATAAATCTATAAAACTAAAAACCGTTGAAAAAAATTGTAATTGAACGTCTTGTAAATGTGCAGTAAAAGATATCTGGAATAATTAATGGAGTACAGAAAAGAGATTTTTATATATACAAATTGATCTTTGACCTCGTTTATTGATATACTTTTGATTGTGAGTGACCATGAAGTGACCGCTGTAGATGTCCAACTCACCTTCGTATATCCACCGCTCCAAACATCTACAAACAAATTGAAAGAAAATTCATTTCGAAAAAAAATTAGTTGAAAATTGGTGTTTTAAATATTTGGGAAATGATTCAAAATGAAAAAAAGTTTTTAATGACTTGAAATATCTGACGGATGATGACTTGAAAAGGAAAAATATGAGAGGCCTCATGTCATCATCTGCTTTCGTCCATTCCTCATACAAGCAACTCAACAGCTGACCTGTGTTCTTCACATCGAATGATCATGTGTGTGTGTGTGTGTGTGTGTGTGTCTATGTATGAAAAGATGAGAGGGAGAGAGAGAGAGAGAGAGAGAGAGAGAGAGAGAGAGAGAGAGAGAGAGAGAGAAAGGAAGAGAAAAAATTCCTAAATTAACTAAAAAACAAATTAATAGTAAAATAACAGTTTCCCAGTGAAATGAATTTTTGCTGGTAATAAAAAATTTCATGAGTTAGATGAAGATCATTTTGATTTCATCGTACAATATAAAAGATTTTACAATTTTATAAAAAAAAGATTTAATTAGAAAAAGATTAATCAAACATGAGAAAAAATTGCAAGTGAACAAAAATAGAAACCTGGCAGGATTTTATATCAGAGCAAAGTGAAGAGAAAAACCTGGAGGTGTGTGTATGTTATGAGCGAGAGTGCTGAACAACAAACATAAAAACGTACGTGTGCGCGCGCGCGCGTGTGTGAATGTATGTTAAATAATAATAAACGTAAGAGTGAAATTCTTGGATGTTAAGATGAAAACAAAAAAAAAAAATAAAGGGTAAACTAATAATACCATACATTACCATAACAATCACAACCGTAATTACCACTCACCAATCTTTCAATTCGACAAAAAATGAAGAAAACATGACCAAATTAAGTTAAAGAGGAAAATTTAGATGGAAATGTAGATGGAGAACTATAGTAAACAGAAACATCGACCTCAATTGTTTGAAGATTTGTTTGAACTTCAGAACAACATGTAGTAATGAACGTTGGTGATTCCACTGGACACAAGTCAACAGGCATCTCTGCATGTGTAGGTATGATTGGAGACATTGAATCAGTGGCTGTAGGTAGGAGTCTGGAGTGGAAAAGTTAAAAAAATATGTCGGAAAATGAAGTGCTTGAAGCCTCTGCTGATACAAGTTCAAGTCTGTGATACAAATATAAGTCTGTGATACAAATACAAATCTGTATTACAAATACAAGTCTGTGATACAAATATAAGTCTGTGATACAAATACAAGTCTGTGATACAAATACAAGTCTGTGATACAAATACAAGTCTGTGATACAAATACAAGTCTATGATATGATACAATACAATCAAATCGATACATTCAAAATGGATAATAAAATAAACATGACAGGCTTAATCAGTTTCAACTTCATTTTTGTCATCAATACTGTTAACATAATCACCAGCAACCACACTAATACGTCCAACACTCTTCCTCTCCCTTAACAACACTCAATATCTCCTAAATCTACCCTCACAGCTATCGCCATCTCTCAAACTAAATATTGAAAAATGCACCGGTATCCAACTGATGTTCGTTGATGAACTGTGCAAGAGTCAGGACGGAGTTTCCAATTAAGAGAAGTTCACCGAGGAACTTGCTGTTGCAAACACAACCATCCACATTCTTCTCATTCAAGTGGAATTCGTTCTAATTCAAATGTTAGTGATACAATTATTCATTTATTTATAAAAATTATCTCTAATTAGACAAACTAATTTAATATTCAATCATTCTTATTATCACTTTCACCATTCAGATGCATTATCCAGGAATCATTAGATAGAAGCAACATATTTATGAACAGTTGACTCGATCCAGATTATTACAAATAGATCTTCCCTCTTTCCTTAGATGAGAAATGATGATTTAATTAGAAAACCGATGAGTGAAAATTGTGACCAGCCGAAAGGTGTTAAAAGGTAACGCCCAATTACAAATGAGATGAGTCTGCCAGGCTAACAGTAACCACACTGCACAAACAATCACGAACAGTTCAAGTCCCAACTTAATAGTGTAATGACATCTTTTGTTGTTTTGAAAAACATTGTAAAGATTATAACAAACAAACAAGCAAGCAATCAAACAAACAAACAAACAAACAAACAAATAAATAAATAAACAAATAAATAAACAAATGAATGAATGAGTGAATGAATGAACAAATATGTGCATATACAATATGTGCATATACAATATACATATAAATAAAATAACGAGATAGAACATGTAACAACATTTGCAATGTTGAAAGTATGAGAAGGCAGTCCGATGAACAACTTGACAGCATCTTGAATGAAGGAAGCACTTGACGTACAAGCGGCATGACACAAGGACTTCAAAAGGATGGATTGATGGATGGATTGGTGAATGGATGGATGTTGAAGGTCGGATGATGTCAATAACGGGGATGTCACTGGTGGATGGATTGATGGTACGAGATCTGTTATGTATGGCAATTCAGAGGGCTTCATGAACCTTGAGGCATTTCGTAGAAAATTAACAAAAAGTGAGAAAAAAACAACTTAAAATTATTAAACAAATAAATTGGTGAAAGAAGATAAACGATTTATAGCAGAAAAATAAAACGAAACCATTCAATCTCAAAATAAAAGTGAACAATTTTACCGCAAAACTGAAAGCAAATTAAAAATATGAAAACCATCTGCATACAAACCAATTGTATATCAAATAATAAGTGACATTATACCAAAAATAAATCTATCCATAAACATAGAGATACTTCCTAGATGAATCCCACGACGAATATGTGATGATCTGTTGATTCTTGAGATGCAAATGCTCCCAGACGTCATCATCTTCATCCTTCTCCTGTCTGCCTCCACCATCATCAGCTTCCTCTCCCCTCAGACTCCCCGTTGGACTGTCTTCATTGAAGCCTTCATCTAGCGTCGTCTGTAAAATTAATTTTTTTAATGAATGTATGTATCAGTGAATGAATGAGTGAATGTATGAGTGAATGAATGAGTGAATAAATGAGTGAATGAATGAAAAAATGAATGGAAAAATGAATGAATGGTATTTATTACAATAAGATGTTGGTTCAGCAAAAGCATAATTGCAGCAAGACCAGAAGAAATTTGTTGGGCCACCCAAAGAATTAACATTTGAATAACATTTTGACGGATGTAGACTAATTCAATTTAAAGAAAACTGGTGTGGATGAGTAAAAATTTTTTGGATTTGAAAATAACACATGCAAGAATAACATATGCAAGAATGGAAAGCTTATACTATTTTAACATTTAGTATGGATAGCTTATACTTCTTTTAATACTACTTCTATTACCTACCTCAAATTTATTCAAAGTCAAAATTGGGAAGTGACATAATGTCGCATCCTTGGCAGGTTTCTTTGATGAATTGGCCAGCATTAGTAACAGTTGTAAGAGATTTCTAACCAGGCCATCGTCCAAGCCTTTCAAGTTTAAAACAAAATTACAATTAGTTTAATAAAATTATTAAAAAATTCATAAAAAAAATTATGAATTAAAATTTTATTTCAATCTTCTCAGTCAGAAATTTTTTTAATTTAAAATAAAAATATTAAGCAACCTAAATGAAACAACTTTTGAAGGGCAATGTCGAGTTTAGTGGCGGTTGGTGAATTATTTGTTGACCTCAACCTCTCAATGTAACTGTATAATTTCTCAAGGATGGTGAACGACTCAGGTCTAGACCTTAAGATGGGGTAACAAGAATGAGACATACTAATATGTAAATCTAAATCTAAGAGGTCGAACATAAAGTAAATATTTTTTAATTTCATAAACAACAATTTTATTCATAAGTATATTAGTTATATTACAAAACAAATAACATAATCATAATTTACTCTTCATTTTATCAAAAAAATATATTATGATTGAAAAAATTTGAAATATTTTATTTAAAAATTAACAAAACGAAAGGAAACTACTCATGCTCCAGCAGCACTTCATAAGATTTCAACAGTTGTTTTTTTATAAGGTGAGTTAGACCAATTTGAAATTTATTTTTCACAAAGTGATGAGAACAAAGACATTTCATGAGGTGATAAATACTTTCTTCAGAAGCCATCTTCCTTATCCTGAAAATTCAAAAAACATCAACTTTTCAACTCACCAGCTAAAGTTGTAAAATAAAGAGAGAAAAAAAAGATTTACTAGCAATCAGTCTTTCTTTCACTACAAAATTTCATAAACTCTTATTTTAAATATTTTTAAAGATTATTAAAACTTAAAGCTTTATTTTATGATTAAAAATTTTATAATCTTTAAGAATTTAATAATATTAATTAAATTAATAATGTTTAACTTTAATTAAATTAAACCATACTACAAAAAACAAAACATGATAACAAACAAGATACAAAATAAAAACAAAACAAACAAGATACAAACAAAACAAACAAGATACAAGCTAAACAAAACAAACAAGATACAAACAAAAAACAATACAAACATCATACAAGAGAAACATTACATTACAATTAAATTTAGTTACCACAAACATTGGTTGACCAGTCAAACAAGGATGACTGAATGAACTGAGCCCAGAAATACCAGCACAATTCATTCAATAGAATAAATCTTCATTCTTCACTATTTTCCAAAAAGTAAAACTTTCCATGACATTTAGTAACAGGCTTAATCTAATAAGCACAGAATAAGTTTCACTAATTCAAAAAATAAAATTAAAATAAACAAAATCGAAACATTTCCCGCATTTAAATTAACTTTTCGAAAGTATTTACATTCAACTAAGAGTTAACTTCAGTTAAAATCAAAGCAGCATTTTTTCTCACTTCTATTTCATTTTGCAAGATAATGATAAATAAATTTTTTTAACTATTGTAACTATAGAGTTATTAAAATAATTTATAAAACAACACATTTCAAAATTATGGTGTAGGAATTGAGATATAGTGCTCGAGTTGAAATTGTACGTAGACCGATAAATAGTTGATATCATCCGTTGCATAAATATTGCGTAATTATTCATTTGTCATTTGAAGGTTTCAAGCCAAAATCGCATTTTGTATATTGCAATAAGTGTTTGACGTCCTACTCCTGCTTTCAAAGAACTCGCTCGATTCGATAGACACCGAGAACTTGATAACCCTATAGAACTCTACAACTCAAACTCAATAACTCTATCAGATACGCCGCACACACACGCGCACACATACAAACACACACACACATATATATTTAGATTATGTATAATACAATATTTAAATATCACTTCCTAAATAATAAAATTTACTATGTTATTTCAGCGATGCTGGACATTTTCTTGAAAAATTAGCAAAAAACAAAACCAAACCCCAAGTTTAATTTCTCTAGGAAGGTGTATAAATATGAAATAATTAATTACGAATTGTTTTCGACCATTTTGGTGCATAAAAAATAAATTAATTAATATGATTAAATTAAGAAATCAAATAAATTTAATTGAAAATAGTGAAAGGTGAATGTCATGAGATTCTCTTCATTGTATAATGTATAAGTAAAGCAACTTCCACGCAAACATCCACGCTTACATGCACAAGTGATTGCATATATATATATATATATATATATATATATATATATATATATATATATATATATATATATATATATATATATATATATATATTTATATATATATATATATATATATA